TAGCTGACACTGACACCACCGACTTCTCATGCCCACACTGTCCACGCACATTTACCTCACGCATCGGCCTGGTCGGTCACTTGCGAATCCATCGCACAGAGACTGGCGAACCAGTGCCTGGAGCACCCACCTTTACCCACCAAGCTCGTCTCAACTGCCCACACTGTCCTCGCACTTTCAGGCATCGCATGGGCCTATTCGGCCACATGCGCATGCACGACGACCTGCGGTAGACAACCGCCGGCCACACCACACATTCACTCACTCCCTACCTCCTCCACCACCACCATCACTCCACCAGAAATCAACACTCACACACCTCATGCACCCAAATGCATCTCGACTCGGTCCCCATGCGGCTTCGGCTGCACGGGTGACTTGAGTCCGAGACTCTCCCGACACGTCAAGCGTCGTGGATAGGAAGGTTGCTGATTGACGCCCCCATTCGGTCCACGCAGTTCGTCACGTTGTGTGTGTGTTGTGTGGAGTGGCGGACTAGTGGGCTGGGAACGGGCTGAAACAGCACCTTCCACGGCACTCTCACGCAAGTGAGAGACACGCCGTTCAACCCCCGTTGTGTGAAATCCTGGGGGGCCAGGTCGTGCCGTGGCGCGCGCAGTCATGGTCAGTCGACCATGACAGCCACCGCGCCCATTCCCCACTCCAGTCTGCTGACCGGCTCGGACAGCGGCTGGGGTGTGGGAGTGGGAAGGGATAGTGAGGTCGATGACTCAGCGCACTTTCTCCTCACTGTAAACAATCTGACGCGCTTGAAGCTATCACGGTGCGCTAAAAGCCGTGGCTTGAAAGGTTGCCAACTGACGGGGTAACTTGGACCTCCTGCTTGACCGGAGGCAGTCTGAGAGTCAGGCTGCAATGGCTCCTACTACTACTACTACTACTACTACTACTACTACTACTACTACTACTACTACTACTACTACTACTACTACTACTACTACTACTACTACTACTACTGCTACTACTACTTCTACTACTACTACTACTACTACTACTACTACTACTACTACTACTACTACTACTACTACTACTACTACTACTACTGCTACTACTACTTCTACGAATACTACAACTGACATGACCACGACTACATTACCAACTTTTATGGTATAGGTAACGCTGACTGAATTACTGCTAGTACCATTAACGTCAATGACTGTGCAACTGTTAGCAGTGCGTTTAATTCGGACAACAGAAAGTTACTACCAATACCGTACATAGACACGTAGTGGGGCAGCCACCTCTGCAACGAATAATACTAATAGAAATTGCGGTGAGTGATTGTATCACCAATAGCACAAGCAATACCCCGCAGGACACGACGGACGCGCATGCAAAGGGAAAAGCACCAGACAACAGTATTTTAAACAAACATGCCTACTGAAATTAGTCAGTAGGTCTTTATTTTTAATGTCGCAACACTCCGATTCGCGGCGAATCGGAGTGTTGCGACACTGGTATCCAGCCACTCTTTTTTCACAGAGAGTCGTCGGTGCCTGGAACGGGCTTCCCTAAGACGTAATAATGGCGGATACCACAGAGACATTAAAGCAAAGACTAGATGTATATTTGCTTGGAAAATACCGCTATGTGGTGACAAACCAATGCCTTGTATACACCTATCGCTAATGCGGATGGCTGTCACTTCATTTTACCGAGATAATCTGCAACTGAATGCTCTCGAGTTTCGGTCCTGCATTTCAAAAGAAAAATGTTCCGGTAAGCGTATATATTACTGACAACATTTTAGTACCATGTTTATTTAAAGGTAGATATTGCATGTACTGTTTTCAATAGGGTTTTCAAAGGCATTGCCTATTACCCTTTAAATATACTGACCTATACTGATCTATAACCTACATTTTAGTGGTTGATACAAGGACGAACGGCGTTATTCTGGATTTGCGTTCGTCATCGACATTGCTTCAACTAACAGACATTTAGCCCTTCTAAGCAGAATCAGGGTTGGATTAACTTTACTGAGATCATTACACACCAGGAGGGGATACGTCACAGTTGCCAGCATGGATTCCAAGTGTCATCAATCGGGCTAAAAGGAAGGGCACCGTCTGATTATTTTTGTGACTTTGTCGCGGCGAACAGTCCCTTGCTGCGTAGAGCTTTCAGTGTGCGAGAAGGCACATATAATTGCTCAGGTTAGCA